TTGTACACAGTGCCCATCCAACTGCACCTAAAGACAGCAAAAGACATGAGGCTTATCCGGGGAAAGCTGATGGGGATGCTCGTCCACTAGCCTAAAGATTGGTGGTGTGAGCCCACCTGGTTGCCTCAGAAGAAAGGCCTGCTGATCTGCTATAACGATGGCAGCCAAGAGAACCTACAGAGGAGAGGACAGTGCCACACTAAACACATGGGCTCACCAAAAGCGGGAACCAAGAGCAGCAGGTTTGGGTTTGACCTGGCAAAAGAATGTGGTACCCTGAGCAAAAAGGGGTAGATGATCCGGTCCACAAGGTAAGCCTGGGCTCACTTATGCTTACCCACTAACAGGTTCACACTTTTTCACTCCAATGATTGAAGTCCAGGATGTATGTTTAAGGCCCAGAAAACATGCACTGGAATGGCTACCAAAACTAAGCTCGCTGCCATTGAGTCATTGCCGACTCATAGCAACCCTCTAGGACAGAGTAGAACCATCCCTGTGGGTGTTTGAGGCTATAACTCTTTACAGGAGTAGAAGGCCTCATCTTTCTCTGGAGGAGTAACTGCTGGTTTCGAACTGCTGACCTTGTGGTTAGCAGCCCAACACATAAGGCTCCTAAAAAGATTGGCATTCAGTAAATGGTGTTGAAAGGGGAAGATGAGCCTTTCTACTGTTTCGCCGAAAGTAAGACATCCCCCCAAAATAAGACCTACTTACAGTTTTGCCTCTCGCTGGAATATAGGGCACTCCCTGAAAATAAGACACCTCCCCAAGCTACCATAACTCTGGACTTTGGACCTAAGCAGCGGGGCGCCACCTCGCAGCTCACTGTTGGCCACAGTGCAGCCAGAGCAGACAGGAAGTGTGAGGTCTCTTTTAATAAAACAATAAACAATAAATGTGTACCATATTCTTCTTCATGGAAAAATAAGACATCCCCTGAAAATAAAATCTAGTGCATCTTTGGGAGCAAAAATTAATATAAGACACTGTCTTATTTTCGGGGAAACAGGGTAGTCCTGTCTCGGAAACCCACAGGGGGAGCTCTACCCTGTCCTATAAGGTAGGTCACTGTGACTCGGACATGACTCAATGGCAGTGAGAGGTGAAGGGTATGTGAGAAATCTCTTCTTTTTGCAACTTTTCTTTAAGACTAAAATTAATTCATAATAAAAATAATAATAAAG